CCCAAGGAACCCACACAGCTATGCCTTCCTCCACACCAGGTGAAGGACCGGACAGACATCATCTTTGAGGTGGGAGACGAGCAGCAGCTGAGTTCATGGATGGCTGAGTTCCGGGAATGCACAGGCCAGGGGTAAGGCGCCCCAGACTCCATTCCTGCTTCAGCTTTTTACTCCAGCCCTGATCTTCCCAGACCCTTCACCCCAGCCTCTTCTCCAGCAGCCTGGAGAGCACAGACCCAGAGATGCACATTCCCTCGGCCCCAGAGCCCAGCCAGTCCAGCTCCCCCAGGGGAAGCACAGACTCCCTGAATCAAGGTGAGTGAGTCGGGCCTTTATGCGCTGGGTGCGTCCGAACCAGCCTCAGCCCAGGACGTGAGGTACCCAAAGGCGTCACCATTCCCACCTCCTCTACCAGGTGCTTCTCCTGGGGGGTTGCTGGACCCAGCCTGCCAGAAAACAGATCATTTCCTGTCCTGCTACCCCTGGTTCCACGGCCCCATCTCTCGTGTGAAGGCAGCTCAGCTGGTGCAACTGCAGGGCCCTGACGCTCACGGAGTGTTCCTGGTGCGGCAGAGTGAGACACGGCGTGGGGAGTACGTGCTCACGTTCAACTTCCAAGGCATAGCCAAGGTATGGGCAAGGCAGGGGGGCTGTACCACCCCCCCAAGTTCACAGCCCTTAGGGGCCACTGCCTGAGCCTCGCCTCTCCTCTCCACCCCCTGTCCTTGTAGCACCTACGCCTGTCGCTGACGGAGCGGGGCCAGTGTCGAGTACAGCACCTCCACTTCCCCTCGGTCATGGACATGCTCCACCACTTCCAGCGTTCACCCATCCCCCTCGAGTGTGGAGCTGCCTGTGATGTCCGGCTGTCTAGCTATGTGGTCGTTGTCTCCCAGCCACCAGGTGTGAACCCAATGCCCTTGATAAAGGCGGTAGATGGCCCAGAGAACCACACAGGGGGGTGAAAGCTTGCTGCTGCAAATGCAGGGACCTAGAGATCTTGTTTTGTGTCCTTCTGATACTCCCTGCCCTGTGAAGACTGACTGGTCTCTGTCACTTGTCCCCAGGTTCCTCCAACACTGTCCTGTTCCCCTTCTCCCTCTCTCGCTGGGACTCAGAGCTGGGCCTTCCCCACCTCAGCTCTTCTGGCTGTCCACGGGGGCTCGGCCCGGAGGGTCTCCCAGGCCGGTCCTCTCCCCCAGAGCAGATCTTCCACCTGGTGCCTTCGCCCGAGGAACTGGCCAACAGCTTGCGGCACCTGGAGCCTGAGCCTGCCAGCCGAGCCCGGGACTCTGACTACGAAATGGACTCCTCTTCCCGGAGCCACCTACGGGCCATAGACAATCAGTACACGCCTCTCTGACAGGCGGTGGACCCAGGCCACCCGGATGCCCTGGAGGAGCACAGCAAGCAGACAGGAACTGGTGAATGTAACTTTCCTTCCTTTCAGAGAGAGTTAAGGGACATGTTAACTGCTCCTTCCAGTTTGGATGTGACCCTGCTATTAGGCCTGTTAAAGGGCCTCCTGTAAGTTCCCTCTGGCTTTCTCCTTGTTGTTTACAGATGTGGTTCTTGTTCGCAGATGCCTCAAGCTCCTGCCCTGGTCCCCAGGACCATCCCCACCACTCTTAGAGGCGGTAGGGTCAGGGCCAGACTGGCAGTGGAAACCTGTTCTCTTTTTCACTGACACTGTCGCAGCTGATGACAGACTTTCTACTGGGGGTGGGGGGGCATCAGGAAGCCCAAAACACTAACAAGCCCTGGATTCCCTGTGGTTTTCCCATGTAGCTTCAGTCCACGGGGCAGCTCTGCGGCGCCCACACCTGTCCTGCTTCGACACTCTGCCTTAGACAAAGCTCTGACAGATGGACAGGCTAAAGTCAAAAATGATTTAAACATTTTACCTCAAAGGATTCAGGTTTCAAAACTAAATCATTGCTTATTTCATTGCACTGTTTGACTACAAAAATCAGGTGGGTATTAGTTCAGACAGCTATGCAACCCCACCTGACTAGTGCCGGCTGAAGCAGCACGCCCGGCTTCCTTGTCTATTGCAGCCTCTGGAAGTCACCTGCTGCCGAGCAGCCACTGTCCTTCCTAAAGTGGAGACCTGAAGCGCGTCACTGTTTGAGTCAGGCAGTTACTGAACTAGGAGGGTGGCAGACCACAGCTCTACCCTGGTGCCTTATGAATAAAAAACGGGGTTCTGCTTTACAGCGGCTTTACAACGAGAGGTAACTGAGGGTGAGGGAGGGACAAGCAAAAAGGGCAGACAGAAGGGCTCCTGGGCCTTTCTAAAAATCCTTCCCAGCTGGCTCGGAGCCCCCATGGTCTGATGGCTTAGTAAATTCTCCCGCAAGGTTTTAGCTCATTCTTGAGCCAAAATGGAAGCTGGAAGCTCGTGCCACAGTGAATGAGGACCTCCTCCAACAGCCCACAATCGGGGCTCTGTTCCTGCTTCCTCAGGTTGGGGGGGGGGGTCACGTCTCCAACCCCGGGAGGTCCTGCAGGCAACTCTCCACCTGCCCCTCTCCATAAGGGACACAACTCACACGGGGCTGGCTCCTCCCAGAGAACGCTCAGTACCGAGCAGGCAGCAACCGTGTGCGGCCGGCTGCTCCCGGGGCCAGCCAGCCACTCGGCACAGCTTTAAGTGGATAGAGGCAAGATTAAACCTTGGCCTAAAACTAACCACTGCCTGCCTTACCTGGGGTGAGGGCTGCGTCTGCTCCCTCCAGCCACTGTCTACACTCTAAGAGGTCAGAGGCAAGACTTTTGCTTCTAGAATTTTTTGGGGCAAGCAGCCCCGTCTTCACTTTTACTTTCAAAACCAACACTCCTGGGTGTTTTCACAGGTTGTAAAGCAGATCCGACCCTGACCCAGATTTTCAGTCCATTTCTAAGGATACTTATTTCCTACACACCAAGCAGGTGTGAACCAGAGAACATGCACTATTTTAAACGTCTCTCTCAAAAGAGAAAGCTCATCACAGAACGTCAGTGCTGACAAGTCACTGGTGCAGGAACAGGGCCAAGTAGACAATGAGCCAGCATACCCTCTCCCTCCCCTCTGGGCCATGACACTTTCAGGCACGGCACCCACTTCTAAGCTCTCAGCAGATCCTCAGGTAGTGCCAGGAGGCAGCAAATGAACAGTGCTGACCCACTGGCTGCAAAGTACAAGCTCAGACTCTGACAGAGAACTAGAGTCACCCACCTCCAGGCCGCTTCAGAATAAAATGTTCAAGAAAAACATTTCCTTTCTAAACATATCCATGTTACCAGGACAGCTCAAACACATTCCAACAGGAAGCCCCGTCATGGCCTGGCAAGAAGGGACACTAAGACAGTGCCTCTCCCTTCTGCTCAAGCAGGTTGGGCTGGAGGAGAGGGAGCAGCAGGTCCCTGGGCTGCATGCCCTCACAGTGACCTGCTGGCTGCAGCCGGCCCACAGCATCTGCCACCTGCCCTCCAGGCCTGATGTGACTGCTGCTGGCGGCAAGAGGCCAAGCCAGCAGCCTCCACAGGGCCCAGGCTCTGAGTGCCAAGGGGGACAGTAGCATCACGATCTCTGCAGTTATCTCCAGCCACAGACAAGGGCAGTGGACTGCTTCCAGCACCATCACTTCCTCAATCTGACTTTAACGAACTTTTACAAACTAATAGTCACCAGCACCAAAGAATTAAGTCAACTAACCTGCCTTGAATTTTAGACCAGCAATCCATATGGCTTTATCTGGTATAAATCTTCTGCCTTTGATCATTTCTGGACCGTGTAGGAAAAAGGAATAGCAATCATTAAAATCTTAGACCAGAGGACACTGTCTGGCAAACTGTTATGTATTGTTTATGTACTGTACCAGTAACTTATTCTTGAACAATGCAAATTTTGCTATAATGTACAAATTGCTACATGTGAATTAAAAGAAAGTTTTCAGAATCTTGATTGGATGCCAACAATATTTAAAGACTCTATTACGACTATGGTCTAAAATCCTTGCCCTCCTCCCACAAGTCAGGGACACTGACAGATGCTGGCGTCTGCAGCATCAACTGCTCCGTGCGGCTCTCCTGAGTTTCTGGACCATTTTTCTCCTCCCCCCCCATCTTTTTTTAAAATGAATCTTTACTTTTTAATTACAAATGACATACTAGTTTCAGGTGTAGCTTTCTCACAGCTTTTTAAAAAGTGTCTCCTGCCCCCTACTGGTAACACAGACAAGATGCCTGAATCAGGACAGCTGACTAACACGTTTGGGTTCAGGAGGTATCGAAAAGGAAGCTTACAGATCCAGCGGCAGGCTGCGGACGTGGCCTTTCAGCGCTGCCCAACTCTGGCCAGCCTTCCTCCTTCCGGAGCAGAACTCTATCCACCAAAGAGAATATCTCAGTCGTGTCTTTTCCTAGAGAGACCTTGAACCAGAACTGAAGGTGAAGAAGAAAAATCATTTGACAACTAACCTTCCAGGACATTAAGAAAATACACTCCGCCCCTCTGCCTTGATATTAACTAGTGGCTTATAGAAACACACACTAACTGGGTATCAGTTTTTAAAACTTTTTTTATTTTTTAATTTTTTTTAAGTTTTTATTTTATATTATCTACAAAGTAAAAGTTTTTCCCTTAACTTAAAAGTTGAACCACTGTAGACAGTGATCACTTCATCAAACTTGATTTATAAATAATATTCCGTCAGTCTGACGGTAAGAATTTACTGAACCTTTGTCAAGTTTAGTAAAAGGGCGTTCCAAGTCTTGATTTTTTTTTTTTTTTTTT